AAAAAAAAAAAAAAGACAACATTGAAAGTGACCAGGAACAAGAGAAGTTTGCCCTTTAGGCCATCATAGCTGAAGATCTGATTAACCCTTTAAAACTTTTAAAGCTGTGTTGCAATGGTTTTAAAACAAGATTTTAGACATGAGCACACTTGCAGGGCACTGGTATCATATGCCTGAAAATCTTAGCTACTCAGGAGACTGAGATCTGAGGATTACAGTTCAAAGCTAGCCCAGACATCAAATTCTGTGAGATTTATCTCCAACTGACCACCAGAAAACCAGAAGTGGTGCTGTGGCTCAAAGTGGTAGAGCACTATAGCCTTGAGTGAAAAAGATCAGGGACACTATCTAGGCCCTGTGTTCAAGCCCCGCAACCAAGAAGAAAGAAAGGAAGGAAGGGAGGAAGAAAGGGAGGAAGGAAGGGAGGAAGGAAGGAAGGAAGGAAGGAAGGAAGGAAGGAAGGAAGAAAGGAAGGAAGGAGGGAAGGAAGGAAAGAAGGAAGAGAGGGAGAGAAAGGAAGTGAAAGAGAGTGAAAGAGTGAAGGAAGGAAGAAAGGAAAATAAAAATGAGCACACTTCAATTCTAGAATACTTTTTTAGACTTCACCAGCAAGAGTGACTTTCAAAATGAGACAGAAGCTATCTGTTTAGTCTAATTGTTTGAGTTTTGAAAATCCAAGGTGAACTTTGAAACCATTATTTCACATTTACTTTAGCTGTCTTAGGTTTGACATAGGGAGTGTGATTATGCAATATGTTATATGTTAATGGATTTATGAATAGACTACATAAGTGGCCCCTATGTGCAGGCATTGTGCCCAATACATACAACTTTTCAATACAGATGTCTATATGACTTAAGCATGATATTCAAAGTATTACCTTCATTGTTAGTCAGCATTTAATGTATTTGATTAACACTTATGCACTTAATAGTCAAGAGAAAGTCTTTCCTGGTAAGAAGTTTCTTATTAGTGATATGATTACATCAATTGCCTTTAAGTATTCCTAAAACAGTAATACTATAAGACATAAACTCACTGTATACATTGTCTAACATCGCATAGAGAAAACAATTTTTGGAATGTTGTTTATTCAGGTGATCACAATATAAATTCAGAGGTATTTCAGTGTCCTGGTTGAGTTAATGTCCATTGTTAAGTGTTCATCAATGTTCTTCATGTTGGCAATATGCAGATTATACACAAAATTAGTTTATTTGGATGATTCTTCCCAAAGGAACATGATTATCTTTATAGTTGTGACGTTCATGCTTCCAAGAGAGCCACATAACTTTTCAAAGTACGTACAAGATTCTAGTGATCGATGGCTATTTTATGAGCCACAAAGCAATTCTCAAGTGTAGTTACTATCTAAGACATATCTAACTTTTTTTATTTTAACCAACCAATCCTATCTCCAGCTACTATGGAGCAATAGTTGGAGTAGGAGTAGGAGTCATTAGAACAATTCTTCGTAATTCCATAATTCTCTATACAGTGGAGAACTGTTCTAAAGACATTGCAGCGGGGTTCTATTCAGTTGGGCATTGAAACCTCAGGTTTCAGAACCTGATTGTCACCCATGTAGGGCTTCACAGACTTAAGGGACACCCAGGGCCAAAATTCACTGCTTCTCAATATGGGCCAACATTTGCCAACATTGAGTGTTAATTCCCCCAAGGCTCTAGACATACTCTGATTTGAGGTCATCCAAAAGCCCTGACCCAATCTCAGTGTGTGTGTGTGTGTGGGGTGTGTGTGTGTGTGTGTGTGTGTGTGTGTGTGTGTGTATGCTGGTTGTGGGGCTTCAACTGAAGGCCTGAGCACTGTCCACTGTCTCTGAGCTCTTTTGCTCAAGGATAGCACTTTACCACTTGGGCCACAGCTCAAACTGCTTTAGTTTTTGAATGGTTCATTGGAGATAAAAGTCTCACAAGGACTTTTCTGTTGATTGGCAGTTGCCTGTTATTATATTTCCATCTTTCTATTTACCTGCTGTCCTGTGCAGCAGGAATAGGCAATACATGAATATGCATTCACTTTGTTCCTCTTAATTATCCACTGTCCACCTGAAGTAAAACTAAATGCCTCAAAATGCCTCAACTATGACAGATAAAGCCCTTGACCTCCTTGTTTTGTTTAATTTTTTCTTTTTCTTTCTTCCTTTTTTTTTTTTTTGCCAATCCTGGTGCTTGAACTCTGGGCCTGGGCACTGTCACTGAGCTTCACTTGCTCAAGAAAGCTCTCTACCATTTGAGCCACAGCTCCACTTCCAGCTTTTTCTGAGTCATTTACTGGAGATAAGAGTCTCACAGACTTTCCTGCCTGGGCTGGCTTTGAATCTTGATCCTCAATTCTCAGTCTCCTGAGAAGCTAGGATTACAGGCGTGAGCCACTAGTGCTAGTCTCCCACCAGTCTTTATCTCCACAGGCACTGTTGATAGACTTAACCTGTTGACCATCATCAGAGTAAACACATGGCCCTTCTCCAACTGGCACAAAAAGAAACCATGTCTTTTATTGGGATCTAATTATATTTACTAGTTTATTTTTTTTAATATCCTGGCTTACACCAAGTCCTCAAAGTTCCTTAAGGGAACACAGCTCATCTTCCTAGGTTATGAACACCAATAAATAAAGCTTATAAATAAGTGTGTATATTTGTATTTCAAAGGTCAAGAATGGGATCTGACAGCGCCTGTTGCCAAGAAGAAGGTGGTTATTTAAAAATGATGAGCCTTTTTCTTTATACTCGCAAAATACACATGGAATATAGGAAACTGATGACAAATCTTTTGGACAAATATAACTATTTCCCCAATAGATTGCAATATGTTTCCATTTAGTGTGTGTG